AGACAAGATTTCTTTGTGGCTGTCCTGGAACTTGTTTTTTAGACCAGGCTGACCTCAAACCCACAGGCCTGCCTCTGCTTCCTGAGAGCTGGGATTAAAGGTGTGCACCACTACTGGACAGCAGTTATTTATATTTTTAAAGCCATAGAGACAGTGAGTATAAGTTTTTTTTTAACTGAGAGTATTCAAAAGTTAACCTCCCTTTAGAGACATAGAAGAAAGTACTCGCGTATCCTTGTTTCTTTGTTATTTTTATTGCTAAATTCTCTTGGAAAAATAAAATATTTCTGAAGTTGTTGACTATTTCACCCAGAATCATTATGCTTTTTAAGTTTTAAAGTTCTATTAATTAATATCTGTAAACACAAATACAAACTAATTTGTTCTCCATATTTTTTCCACACAGCCCAAGCAGATTAATCTTCAAATATCATTTTTTGTTGCAAATCAGGCATTCCTGATCTAATTTAGGGGAAGGTTATTATGACCTGATCACTGAGAGAGTTCAAAGGCTCTGTGGGAGGTGTGTGGCTCATCCAAATCTCATTCAGACCACCCTCTGGAATGCCCTTATGCTCCCAGAATATCTGCCTTTAAGTAGGTACAGATGGGGGGAGGAAGTGGGAGGGAGGGAAGGGAGGGAAGGAGATAGAGAGAAGGAGAGAGAGAGAGAGAGAGAGAGAGAGAAAGAGAGAGAGAGGGAGAGAGAGAATCTTTATAAGTCTTTAAATAAAATTCTTTGGGGTGTGTGTGTGTGTGTGTGTTTACTGTGCTTTTTCTATAGTGCTTTGTAGAGCTGAGTAGGGACACTGAGAGTAGAAATCAAGATAATTATGGAAATTTGCCCTTGATTAGAGAATCAAAAAGTTAAATCAGACGAAGGTAGGACTGATCCGGTGTAATGTTCCTCCTAATGTTGAGTATGGTGATGGCACATGACTTTAGTCAAAGCATTGAGAGGCAGAAGAAGGTGGATCTCTGTGTTTGAGGCCAGCCAGAGCTATGTCGCAAGAGCTGTCTGAATCAGTCAGTTAATGAAAAGTTTTCTTTTAATTTTCCAAACTTAAGCATGGACATCTGTAGGCATGGTACCTGCTTATGCTCTCCTAACCTTGTGGACCTTTTGTTCTCTGGGCTTACACTTGCTCTGTTTCAAGAGTGGGCCCCATAAGCCATCCCAGATCTCTTTTACAGCCACATTTCTTTTTTTTTTTTTTTTTTTTTTTTGGCTTTCTTAACGAGTTTTATGGGAGCCACATTTCTTTATTAAGATCCTTGTTGCAACAACTTTCTATCAGGCTGTGACTGTCTTTCAAATGTTCAGCCTCCCATAACATTGTCTACATCTTTAGTTTCATATTCCTGCATATTTGCAAAGGGATTCTTTGTTACTTGTTTTAAAACTAAAGAAATAAAAATCTCTGATGACTTAAATGGAAATTATTTGTCATTTGAACATGTTGTTTTGTTTTGTTTTAACTTTTGTAGAAGGCAACCAACTCTTGTATCTCTCCCTGGACATCTTTCAGTTGCAGGTTCTAGAAGGAATAGGGCCAATTGATTTAACTTTGACTCAACTTTGAGCATGAAAAATGTTAGTGGTTGACTAAAAAGTAACTTGCTAACCAAGGTATTATTTGAGATAAAGTAGTAGGAAACTGACTGGAACCAATGAGTTTTCTTCCAAAATTAATACAGCCTTAGTTGCTACTGGATTACATTTTTATTCAGAGTTAAGTTGGTGATGATGGCTGAAATTTTTCTATCACTTTACTTTTCTCATTTCTTCTAAATCTCATATACTCAACTATTCCCCTTTCTTGGGTTAAATGTAGCATTCATCACAAGTATAATTTAAATTAAATTACCTATTTTCTATATTCTTCATCATTCATGTATTTCACATTATTGGTGTTTATTATTAGGTCTACTCCAGCAGCTGACAGTGTGGGTGCTCACAACTGTTCAGTATGAAGTAAAGTGTCTGAAGTATCGTTTTCTAGAAAGTGACTTCCCAAGCTTAATTTTATCACAGATCTTACTAATTTTATATCACTTTGAAATTAACTATAGTACAGTTCATATTTCAAAATATGAATATTGTAATGGATAAGAGGAGTCAAACATACTGTTGAAATACAGATAAAGAAAAACATCTGACCTCTGTTTGATGTGGTAATGAGAACAGAGCAAAAAAGCCTAAGCCAACATTTTTATGACTGCCTTATTTCTTTTTTTGTCGAGATATGAATGTTTTTCTATAGCTTACTTTCATGCATCCCTTCAATGTTCTTAGCAGTCTGTATGAGATGTTAACCGTCCACAGTGATAGGACAAACTCATTTTTTGTTTTGTTTTGTTTTTGTTGTTGTTACAATGTCCTTCTTGCTAAATTGTACTAATGTAGAATCAGCTTATAGCCCTTATATTTCCAATTAAGTCATATTTTATGGATGTGTACAGAGGAGTTTTATAATGTGTAAGAAAGTAGGATGATCCTTCTTTAGTAGTCTTCAAATATAGAAGAGTGTTTGTTTTTACTTTTGACTTGGTTTGTTGTCCGGAATCTAAGCAACCCCTTCTAAACACTGTTTTGCTATCTTGTGCTTTGTAAACCAGGTTGGCTTTACATTCACAGTGATCTGCCTGTGTATCTTTTTAATACTGTTGATCCTTAGAATCACATTAGGGGCTAAGACTTTCATTGTAAATACAGCAGACTATGTCTTGTTCAAAAGTTGCAGATAATTTTAATTTTCTCTATTTAGTTCTTTTGTCATTTATAAAATCACTTTCAAAAAGAACTTAAAGTTCAAATTTATTTTTCTGTTTGTTTGTTTGTTTTGAGATTGGGCCTCATTATGTAGATCTGGCTCTCCTGGATACCAAGGGAACTTCATGTATCTATGCTTGAATACCAGTGTGGCATTTGCTTTCTCAAGTAGTATAAATAAACATTGTTTTCCTTTTAGGTACTATTAGAAAATATTGAAATGTTTAATTATGTGCAGTTTTAAAGTTTTAAATTGTTTTAGTCTATCTTATTCCAGGTAATAAAAATATTGCTCATTCTCATAGTCTAGCTAAAGATACACATTTGAAGCTTCTTCAAATCCATTACCAAGATCTCTTAAAAATATGAATATTCCTGAGAATTTTATTTTAAGGGTGATATACTATGTTAATTAAAAAAAGGAAAATGAAAACCAGATTGGTTGCTCCACACTCTCCTACATAAGCTACTGAAAACACAGTCTCTGTACTGTCTAGTGTTCAGTGCTCTCTTGTTCCGTGTGGAATGTGGTTTTGGAGCTCAACTGAGGAACTCGGCTACTTCCAAAAAGAATAAAATAAATGCAAAAGGTTGGGTTCTTTTGGAAGAAGAGAGGTTTTAAAATGTAAGTATTTTCTGCAAGAAATAGTCAGTTGAACTATGTTATTTAAAGTGGAATTTATGACTTTTGCCTTACTATTTAGTTTCCAACCACATTAAAAAGGATCAAATTAAATGTTTCACTTAGTCTTTCTAACATCAGGGAGCTGTTTAACTGACCAAAATAATCAATGTTTGACTTATTTCTAATAATATGGTAGACAAGATGGCTTTAGATAAATTAGGTATACAAGTATTTATGGCTGTATGGTTTTGAGTTTTGAGGAAAAAAAAATCTCCGATAGCATTAACCCATAGAAATACCATGTTGATGGAGTAAACACCCAACACCCAAGGACTTTCAGTAATACTTCTTTTTTTTTTTTTTCCGAGACAGGGTTTCTCTGTGGTTTTGGAGCCTGTCCTGGAACTAGCTCTTGTAGACCAGGCTGGTCTCGAAACTCACAGAGATCCACCTGCCTCTGCCTCCCAAGTGCTGGGATTAAAGGCGTGCGCCACCACCGCCCGGCTCAGTAATACTTCTTAAGTGCAAAAGTTCCTAGCATTTTTACTTATTATTGGTTAGTCTTTCTGAAAACCCATTTGTCACTAATATAGACATTAAGATATTAATACATTGACCATTAATACAGATATTAATATATTAAATATTAAATAAAGAATAATGCTTTGATGCTTTTTTAAACAGTAGGTACTATTCTCCAGGACAATTTTAGGCATATGTTTTAAAATTCAAATTATATTTTTGCAATTTTACTATTATAGTCATATTAATCATTTTGAAACAAAACAGTGCTTCCTTAATGTATATTTCAAATATTATTTTCTCTCTTGATAAACATGGGTATTATTTTAGTTTGTTTTAGAAATATCAGTCTTTGAATATCCATCTTCAGACAGGTACCAAGCTAAGTGGAGTTTTGAGGTCAGCATTGTTCCTTTTATACATCAAAGACAGTGGTTTGGAATGATAGAACTAAGAGAAACCTTAGAAGATAGCCAACTTGTCTCTTAGATGAGGATCCTGAGGCTAGCACAGATATAACTAACTTGTCAACCAGTCTAAGACCTGGCATCTAAATTCAGAGACTTATCTCTGCAATTGTCCTTACTTGGTACCCCAGCTCTTGGGGCACATTGGAATTTTGTGACAAAGATTTGAATGGAGGCTGCTATTTAATTAGATTGCATACAAGTGTGTACTATAATTAACTGGAAATACAACGGGTGGGAAGGCTTGTGGAAATACTTTTGTGACCTTCTGCAGATGACAGGAGGGTCTTCACTTGGATTTGGAGGATGTCAGAGAGCCATTGTTTCCCAGCTGTAGATGGCAATGTACAATTAACTAGAAGGTACAACAGAAAAGAGCATTAGCTAGAAGTGGTTAATAAAATGAATTCCTTTCTAATTTTTTTTTCTTTGATTTTTCGAGACAGGGTTTCTCCGTAGCTAGTTCCTGTCCTGGAACTAGCTCTTGTAGACCAGGCTGACCTCGAACTCACAGAGATCCGCCTGCCTCTGCCTCCCAAGTGCTGGGATTAAAGGGGTGCGCCACCACTGCCCATGAATTCCTTTCTAAAACAGGGAAATGTTCTCTTTTCAGCTCCAGCACCGACAACAGCAGTGCCCTACATGTCAATAAAATGTGTGGATGTCCGTAAGAATCACCATAAGACAAGATGGCTAGTGCCTTGGGGACCCAACAAGTGTGAAAAGATCCGCGACATTGAGGAAGCAATTCCAAGGGAAATTGAAGCCAATGACATTGTGTTTTCTGTACACATTCCCCTCCCTTCTATGGAGATGAGCCCATGGTTCCAGTTTATGCTGTTTATCATGCAGCTAGACATTGCTTTCAAGTTGAACAACCAAATCAGTAAGTACCTTAACTGCTTTCGTCACCTGTGGGAATTTTCTTCCTAGGAGTGTGAATGATGATGACAACTCAGTTATTAGCTGTTTGCTGCTTTCTGTGCACTTTCTGAGCCCTTCATCTGAATCAATTCATTAAATCTTCCAAATCCCTTGATACAAATATCTGGATTACTTCATTTTACATGTAGATCACTTGGGTTCTGGTGAGATTGCCCACAGTCAGACCTGTTGATCCTTTTCATTGTCTCCTGTGTTCATGTTTATGCCCAGATAAGTTAGTATAATAGAATGCTTATGAGAATTGGCCTCAGAGTTCTCCTGAGATAGATTTAAATTCCTGATTTAAAAACTTATATGTATACACATGCAAAGTTGCTTGTGTGGAGGTTAGAGAACAGTTATTAAGTGATAGTCCTTCCCGTCCTCTGTGGGATTCTGGGGATAGAACTCAGGTTATCAGGCTTATGCAGTATCTTAGTTTACAATTCTATTGCTGTGAAGAGATACCATGACTAAGGCAACTCTTATAACAAAAACAGAAGGCATTTAAATTGGGCATAGTAGCATAAGGCTTTAATTCCAGCATCTGGGAAGCAAAGGCCAGCCTGGTTGACAGAATGAATTCCTGGACAGCCATGGCTATACAGAGAAACCCTGTTTCAAAAAAAACATGTTTAATTTAGGTTTTAGAAAGTTAGTCCATGATCATCATGATGGGAAGCAGACAGAAATGGGGCCAGAGCAATAGCTGAGAGCTCATATCCATCCTGATCTGTCATTGGCAGGCAGATAGAGAGACAGTACCTTGGTATGAATCCCATCTCTAGGGACATACCTCCTTCAACAAAGTTACATCTAGTGCAACAAAGCCACACCTCATAATTCATTTCAAACAGTTCCACTAACTGAGGACCAAGTGTTCAAACATGCGAGCCTATGTTGGCAATTCTCATTCAAACTATCACATGCAGCAATTACTTCTGCCTGGTGAGTCATTGAACTGCCCTCCGGCACCATTTATTAGAAGTTCTACAATGTTAAATAACTTATAAAACATCTCTGAACCACTTTTTATGTGCAAAATTTGAATAAAAATATCTAATTAACCAAATAATTTTGAAGAATAAGCAATTTTATTTCAAAATATAAAAATTAAAGTCTTATTCTTGAAATTCAGCTTATTTTCTTTCTTTTTTCCCCTACATCTTGGCTAGTGAAATTAAGTTCTTATAAAATAATTTTATTTTAATCTTAGTCATGTCCCTATGTGAAACATCCTTAATGACCAACAAATTAGGCTTTACAATTCAGAATTCTCAGAATTCTCTCCATTGTGTTCGAAAGGTTTTTTAGCAGCTCCCTTCCCTGTTTTTTTGTTTTTTGTTTTTTGTTTTGAGACAGCATTTCTTTGTGTAACCTTGGATGTTCTGAAATTATTTCTGTAAACCTGGCTGGCCTAGAACTCACAGAGGTCTACCTGCCTATGCCTTCTGAGTGCTGGGATTAAAGGCATGCACCACCACCCAGTACAGCCTTATTTCTTAGAGCTGACATGTATATATTTCCACATTCTCAAACAATTTCATACTCTGAACACATCCAGATACAGCTTTCATTAACATTCTTGCTCATGCTGATGTTCTTTTATTTTTTTATTTTTAAGTGTTAGCAATAGAACCCTGGGCCTCATGCATACTGGACACATGGTCTTAAATGAACCATAACTTAAGTCCCATCTCCTCTTGTTTTACCATTCTCGTTTTTTCACATAAAGCCAAGTCTTCTTATTGAAAACCTAGTCATTCTTCAAGAAATTCCAGTTGTTACATGGCCTTAGTGCCTTCCCAGATGTTTTCTCATTTCTTTCATAAATGAACTCCATTGTTGGCTAAGCAATGTCTACTTTGACAACGTAGCACAACTGGATTATTTTTTTATATATTTCCTTGGTAGATCAACTCCCTGTTTGTGATCATGTTTATATTTTTTTGGCTGTAACTATGTGTGTAGGAAGCTATGAATGAAAATGTCTCTTGGATCAGATCATTTTCCTACAAATAAAGGATACCAAGCAACCGATGGAGGTGCTTGGCACTTTTCTACTCAAAGACAGTACTTTTGTTATTCAAAGAAACATTTTAATAACCCATGGCACTAATTCTGGTAACAACTACTTAAATATTGCTTGCATGGTTAAATTAATGGCTGAGATGTTTACAACTGACTGAAAGGTGATGCTTTGCTAGGAATAACAACTTGTTGCATAGCAATTATTGTTTGGTGCAATGCTTAGGCTTTTAAAGCTTATATTGTTTATTAGGATGAGAGAAAAACTAGATCATTTGATACTCTGACTTTTGTGTTGTGTAAAATGCCTGGCCAACAATTGATTTCATTTTCAGCATTAAAGTTATTTAATAAAATAAATTACAGCTTCTGGTAAGTTTATGTGAAAGTTTGGAAGTTTACAATCCATTCCTAAATTTTATTCCATTCAATTTATAAAAGGTTGTCAAGTAAACACATGAATACAATTGCCTCAGCCTGTATAGCATTACCTTCATGTGTAAGATCTCAGGGCTCATCACTTTGTATTGGAGAACCAGTTGAAGGGATTATCCCTGGGGAAGATCATTTCTCCCAGTCTCAGCATTCCCCAGTTACCTACAGTTCTTTATCTAGCATTGAGACCCCATGACGTTCTCCTTTTCTATTTTACTGTGTTCATTGGTGCCTTCATTGTTCAGATTTCATTTAGGCAGTCATGTTGGTGATACTTCATGGGTATAGCCTCTTTGATTACTAGGAGATACAATTTCACAGAAAAATCCTATTCCTCTGAGTCTTTCATTCTTTCTATCCCTTCTTCTGCAATTAGGTTGTAGATGTATCAGTCAGGACTGGGAACCATATGATCTTTTGCAATCTACATTTTGATCAGTTGTAGTTTTCTGTAATATTCTTAATCTGTTGCAATGAAAAATTTCTGTGATGAAGGGTGTTGTGGTTTGAATAGGTGTGGCCCCCATAGACTCATGTATTTGAATGTTTGGTCTGTAGGAAATGATATTACTAGGAGATGTGTTCTTGTTGGAGTAGACGTGGCCTTGTTGAAGGAAGTGTATTTCAGTCTACTGCCTATGAATCAAGATGTAGAACTCTCAGCTTTCCCTCCAGCACTGAATGTATGCTGCCATTCTTCTTGCCATGACAATAATGGACTAAACTTCTGAAACTAAAGCAGCCCAAATGGCATGTTTTTCTTTATAAGAGTTGCTTTGTTCATGGTGTCTCTTCACAGCAATAAAATCCTAACTAAGATAAAAGTTGTTATCATGGACTGGGGTATCGCTATGATAGGACTGAACATGCTTTTGTTTAGAGAAATGTGGACTTTGGGAGTTGGCCTTAAATGGGGTTTAATGGGCCATACTAGTAGGAACATGGAAGACAGTGTGCTGAGGATGATTTGAGCTATGGGGGCCTGGCTCAAGAGTTTTCAAAGGAGAAGAATATTAACATGTTGTGATATTTTGGTGAGGAATGTGGTTATTTTTTACTCTTTGTCTAATGAGTCTGTCTTTGTCTAAGGAGGTTAAAGTGAAGAGATTTAGGTCAATTCTGTGGGCAGAAGAAATCTCAAAACGACCTAGTATAGACTCTGTTGTATAGTTATTAGTGATCCCTCCAATGAAGATCTATAATGAAAAAGAGCAAGCTAAGAAAGCAGAAATGCAAACTATACATTTTGAGGAAAAAAGAGGCACCAAGAAGTAGAATGGAGATAAATCCTGTGTTCAAGGAGATAAACAAATTAAGAAATGGAAGAAAGGGAGTGGTAACTTGGGACCTCACAAGTTAAGCTTCCAACTTGTAAAAGAATTAAAGAACAGCTTAGGCCCTGTTGTGGGGTGATCTTTCTGTACGCTGTGAATAAGTATTGTTCTCATTGGTTGATAAATAAAGCTGTGTTGGCCTATGGAAAGGCAGGATAGAGTTAGGTGGGAAATTTAAGCAGAGATACAGGAAAAGAAGAAGGGAGTCTAGCAGTTGCCAGCCAGGCACCAAGTCACCAAGACATGTACAAAATGAGGTAACAGCCACGAACCACATGGCAAAGCATAGATTTAAAAATATGGGTTAATTTAATTGTAATACTTAGGTAATAATAAGCCTGAGTCATCTGGCCAAACATTTATAAGTAATATTAAGTCTCTGAGTGATTATTTGAGAGTTGACAGGCTGGAGAGAAACCTCCAATTACAAATAGCATAGCAAAGTGAGGATCTTTTTTTTTAATATTTATTTATTAATTATGTGTACAGCATTTCTTCCATGTGTGCCCGCAAGCCAGAAAGGGGAGCCAGGTCTCATTATAGATGGCTGTGAGGCACCATGTGGTTGCTGGGAATTGAACTCAGGACCTCTGAAAGAGCAGTCAGTGCTCTTAACCACTGAGCCATCTCTCCAGCCCTCAAAGTGAGGATCTTGAATTTCCAAAGGACCTGGGAAAACTTTAAAAAAGGAGCCAGCTCCTTTAAGAGTTTCTGCAGGACACTGAGCCCTTGAAGAGCTAGGTTGTTAAACTAAGTAAAAATGCCTGCCACAGTACAAGTATCAGCATTCTAGAGCTCTAGGAAAGGTTTAATGCAGTTCTTATTTATGAGCTTTAGGATAGATTTTACAGCCCAAGAAGTTGGTAGAACGAGTCACCAAAGCCTCAGGCAGAGGTCCACACTGCTTAGCAGTTTAAGGATTTGTTCACACAGTCAACAAAGGCTAAAAGATACAGGTAAAAGAGGTCCAGATTGAAAACACTCTAAACACTTTCCAGTGTGTTTTCTAATGTGCATAGGCTTAAGAAAGAAAGGGTATCAACAGTTATACAAAGGAATATATAGTTAAAAAATAATCTAATAAAGTCTTTAAAGAGAGAAATAAAATAATAAAGATTACATAATAAGCTGTGTAAAGATGGAAAATACACAGGAATTTGGATTT